TGAATAATGTATAATATGCTTAAAGAAAAGAAAAAGAACTGCAGGTTCTCTCAGATCTGCACCTTTTTAAGTCCTGGTTAAAAACTAATTTTTAGGACACATTGCTTTATGCTTATGATTTTATTACATTTTTTTTTTGGCAATGTTTTTTTCTTTCTGTGAAGCACTTTGGTTTTCCTGGTGTTGTAAAGAGCTATATAAATAATCCCCTCTCGGTTTATGAGAGAAACATCTAAATAAAATAAGATGATGTAGCTGAAACAAGAACATTTTGGCATTTTTTAAGGTGTTCAACATGATCAACAATTATTTGACTCTCCTTAGGTGCAAAATAAATTAGTAATTAGTCCCATAAATCTGAGATATTACAGCCGGTTTTAAGCCCAACGTTACCTGGATGTTCTTCTTAATCTGATCAATCCACATCTGACTTGAAGCTTGACATTAATAATACGTTTATTTACTCTCCCTACCAAATATATATATTTCTCAGACTCCTCACTCATTAACACATCCATGTCTGCCTTAAAAAGTGATTTTTATTCCACTCTTTCGGCTGGGGTTGCCATGGTAACCATTAACTAATATTGACCAGCGGGCTTATTGAACTTGTTAACTATCCTGTCTTAACCACACGAGTAATGCGGTGATTGCTAATGTCTGCTAATGTCTCCATTATAACTGTAACATGGCCGCCTAGACGCTTCCAAAGGGTGAAAGAACAGCAGCTGATTTTATCTTTGTTTTCTCAGAAATTTTGGGGGATTTTGGTTTGGAGAGTTAACAGTTTACAAACAGAATAACACGGTTTGGTGCTTCGCATGGACCAGGTATGGCTCAATGTGTTGGGGGTCAAACATGAGGTGGAGGCTCAGATGCAGAGTTTGAGGAACAGCTGGGATCTATGAAGGAAAACTTGTCTTTTGTTGCCTTGGTTTTATAGATCGGGAATTGTTTTTGCTGTTCTCCTTGGGAGTGGCGGCCTAGTGGTTAGGGCATAGGACCCGGAATCTTGAGGTTGTGAGTTCGAAATCAACTTCCACAGAATGCCACTCTGGGTCTCTGAGCAAGACCCTTAAAGTCATATGGAAATCAGTTTTATATGTCAAATCATTCTGGCTTAAACATGCTTATAAATGTATTCTTTATCAGACTATACTGTCCCAAAATTTTGAAAATTTCCATTTAGAAAATTTTGTCTTGAAATGTGTTTTTCTTCTGCAGGCCAGTTAGTTCTACGTCAGCCTGAACACCTAAATTCGGCCAATCATATATCAACGATAATCTGCCAATCAAATGTTTTCGGTCATAGCATCTTGATTCATATGTCGCAGCTAATATACGCAACGGTTGAAATCAGAATCCTTTCCTTTCCCATTGAGTTGCGTCCCAGTGTTCACGGGGATGGACGTCTGTGTCTTCGGCAGGCGTAGAGCTAACAGAACTGGCAGCGTTGCGAGGCAAGGGCTCAAACATGTACGGCTGGAAGCCTTCTACACCAAACCAAGCTTCTGCCGCCCTGGCGTCCTCTTCCACAACATCTTCGTCCCCGCTTTCCTCCTCTAAATAAAAAATGGATGACGGAGGAGACTCATCCACGACCTCCGACACTAAACTCTCCTCCTCTTGCATGTTTCCGCTGTCCATAGCGTTCCTTGACAGTGTCGTTTCTAAGGCACCAATTTATTGCGACTTGGTCCCAATGGAATTTCCCATTGGGAACCTACTAGCACTTAGTTGCTAACTGGTTAGCAAGATGCTTCCCACAAACTGGCCACAACCAAACTTGATTACGAACCTTCCGCCACAACAATCCCGCCCCCTTGGTAATCGACCAATCACATTCACTTTATTCAAGCGTATAAAGGCGGGCACCACTCGGGAGAGTTTGGAAATGCAACGGTTGGAACGGCCGCTTCCCTACGGCTTTAATCCCCGGGCGGTCCACGATCGCAGCCCACTGCTCCCTAAGGGGATGGGTTAAATGCAGAGTTAGATTTCTGCAGTGTGAGTTCAATTATTATTATTACTCCAAATGTTTAGTGTGTGGACATTGTTAGCATGGATCCTGCACAATGTTTCATGAATGAGACCTCTTGTATTTTAAAAAGTCCATCATGTCAGCAGAAGGCGATCTCACCCAGTAGGTAACGGCAAAGTTCTTTGTCTTCTGTAGGTTCTCTATAAAGTCTATATTTCCTTTGTGGAAGTGGGACCGGGGAACGTCCAGACAGCCGATTACTTTAAAGGAGTGGGTGAGTCCACAGATGGAGACATGTGGGACATGAAATGGGCCTGAACTGACAACAACCTTCCTCTTCTTCCTTTGCAGCTTCATTCCTCATCGTCAGCATCGGGGGCACTCTGGTGGGTCTGGTCTTTGCCGTCATCCTCGGCTTCATCACCCGCTTTACCAAGAAGGTCCGCATCATCGAGCCCCTCTTCGTTTTCCTGATGGTCTACCTGGCCTACCTGACCGCCGAGCTCTTCTCGCTGTCCGCCATTCTTTCGTAAGTTCAGCCGTTCAGTCGGGCCAATCTGAGGTCCAGTGGTCATCCCACCATCCTGTCCCTTCCTTCACAGAATGACCTTCTGTGGCATCGGAGCCAACAAATACGTGGAGGCCAACATTTCCCAGAAGTCTCGGACCACCGTCAAATATACGATGAAGACCCTGGCCAGCATTGCGGAAACCATCATCTTCATCTTTTTGGGAATCTCAGCAGTGGACAAGTCCAAATGGGCCTGGGACACAGGGCTGGTGTCCTGCACCCTGGTCTTCATCTTTGTTTTCAGAGCCGTGGGTCAGTTTCTCTCCCCGATGGTTCTGGTTGTTTCAGCCGTTACAGAGATAAGTTGATGATGTTAAGGCTCGTACTTACATAAACGTTTTCTGAAAGCACGAAGCTAGCTAAATAAAGATGTCCTCCACATGAATCAATCAGAACAACTCTGTTCACGCCATTGTTGTTATGTTCTATATGTAAGGCACACACGTGTTTGTCCAGAGTCGGGTTGATGATGCAGATGTCTGCGGTAAAGTTGCGGAAAGTCATTGACCTCAGAAATGCGTGCCACAGTTCTGAAATATTCTTCTTCTTGTTGATAATACATGGGTTTGAAGAAGGATTTTTGAATTTCGGACTGAGCTTGTCTTCGTGTTGATGGAGCATTAGCTTCACTAAACCAAATTAGTTCTAGACCTCAACTTTAGGTTTGAAAGGAGAAAAACTGGGCTAAGGCCAATCTAAATCCTCATTCCATGTTTCCGACATGAAATAAATGAGTTGAGTTAAAACTTATATTAATTGATCTTTGAAGATTAAAAGAGCCTTTCACCCATTTCCAAAAAAATAAACATCTTTAAAGACTCAGAAATATTGGATGTTGGACAGCAGATTGTTTTGACTCAACTAAGAGGTTCACTCAGACTCAGTGGCACAAAAATGAGAGGAACCAGTTTAACACATCTGAAAGGTTCTTTCTGATTGGTCCTCGGTCTCTGAGATGAACAGACCTCAATTCTGATTGGTCGTTGCTCTCCTGGATGAACAGATTTCCATTCTCCTGTTCTCAGGTGTGGTTGGTCAGACTTGGGTTCTGAACCGATTCCGGCTCGTCCCGTTGGACAAGATCGACCAGGTGGTGATGTCATACGGTGGCCTGCGGGGGGCAGTTGCCTTCGCTCTGGTGGTGCTGTTGGACGGCGAGCAGGTCAAAGCCAAAGATTACTTTGTTGCCACGACGATTGTGGTGGTCTTCTTCACAGTCATGTTCCAGGTAGGAGCAGCGTTGCTAAAGATTCTGGTTTGTAACCAAAAAAAACAAAAAAAACTCTCATATAACAAACCCGAAGAACCCGTTTCCCATTCGGTGAAACACCAGAATCTCATAATGGGTCTAAATGACCCTTATAAGAACCTCGAGAGTTCTGGGTTCTAAAAGTTTGGTTCTGAATATTCTGGTTTCAGGGTTTGACCATCAAACCTTTGGTGAAGTGGCTGAAGGTCCCTCGCTCCACCAACAGGAAGCCCACCATCAACGAGGAGATCCATGAGAGGGTGAGATTCATCTTCAGCTTCTCATGTGATGAAACCATTGCTTAACCGTGTGTCTGTTTGCTCTCAGGCCTTCGACCACATCCTGACCGCAGTGGAGGACATTGCAGGCCTCCAGGGGTATCACCACTGGAGAGACAAGTGAGTCCCACAGTCGCCTCCACCTTCATCAGAGCGACGTCACAGAAACCTGCATGACATCATGTCTGTGTGTGAAACCAGGTGGGAACAGTTTGATAAGAACTACCTGAGCAAGCTGCTGCTGAGGAAGTCGGTCTACAGGAAGAGCGAGCTGTGGGAGGCCTACCAGAAGATCAACATCCGAGACGCCATCAGCGTCATCGACCAGGTAGGCCTGAGCTCCGGTCCAAAAGAACCGGTTCTCATGAGGTCTGCTGGGTTTGATCAAGAGGATTTTCAATAGAAAAAGACCTGGATGATGGAAAGACAGTAGGTGAAGAATCCTCCAGCAGCAGCTCCTGTCTCAGCTTCTCCTGGAAGAGGAGCTTCTCTCCTACAGAGGAAGTTTATTTCAGCTGCTTGGATTCAGGATCTGGGTTTTGGTTCTGATCCACATTTAAAAAGCATCGTTGAAGCTTGGGATGTAGCTGGAGCTTCACCAGCTTATTATTATTATTATTCACCACCACAGACCAAAGCTGATCTTCTGCTTATCTGCTCTGGATCTGGGGGTTTCCGGTTACTTCCTTCAGTTTCCAGCAGAGGGCAGCATTAAGAATCTAAAACAGCTCAAATCTGAGCAGGTTAACTTTACAAGAAGAACCTCCTGTTACATCATTTTATCTTCTAACAGGACTAACCTTTTGTGTTGCTGTGGTACTAGTCTGAGTTGGGGATTAGATTTTTATTGGAACCGACCTGCTCAGACGACCAACAAGCAGAACCAGAGCAGGAAAACAGGCACAGCATCACTAAGATTGGGATCAAATATCATCTCTAAGGAAACCAGACCTTCAGAGGAAACATTTAAACTCTTTTCTAATGCAGCTCGACCTTCTTTCAGACAGTCCTAATAAATCCTAGAAAACCAGGTGAGGTTTTAATTTGGACCTCAGTTTATTTATGGAGCAGAGAATCAGCTGGAAGCAGGGGGAACATTCCTGACGTTTCAGGAACAAAAAGTTCCTTTTCTGTCGACGCAGCAAACTCTGCCTCAGCATTTTACTTCAGGATCGTGAAGAATTAGATTCCTTTAACAGTTCAGTATTAAGTTCCGTTTGTGCAGCAAAAACGGATGTTAATTGACCTTTGATGACCTCTACAAAATATTATTAATATAATTGAAATTATAGCAGTACAAATGAAAACTTTTGCCAAACAAAAATATAAAATTTTAGAATTAATTTTAAATGTAAAATATTTAAAATAAAGATATAAAAAAATTCAAAAATTCATATTTTAAAATATGTATATTTTTTGTACTGCTGTCATTTAATGATATTAATAATTGTTTGTGGAAGCCATCAAAGGTCAGTGAACATTTGTTCATTCTGAAACTATAAATTATAAGCTGCTAACCTATGATT